ATATTATACGAATAATTGAATCGTTGGCATAAAATTTATATCTCGCATTATTACAATATTAATAAATAATTTATAAACATAATAACAAATAATTTAAGTCATTACATCATACATATATTGATAAAAACGTGTGTGTGTGTGTGAATTACTATTTTTTTTTAAAGATAATTAATTAATAATATATTATATTAGCCTAAGTGGAAGTCTTAATCAAATTGGCGGGGAAGTCCAAAATGTATAATTACAAAATAATCTAACGGGATTTTTAGTTCTCTCCCTCTTCTTTTGACGGGGTGCATTGAATTCCAAATTACGTAATTAAAGAATAAACCATGAATGGTTAAACCACAACACAAAGGTTCTACGACATTTTTCCTAAACCTTTTAATTATTGAAACCTCGTCACTAACACGATCTTTCAAAATTTTCAAATTCTTGATGCTTATCTCCCCCCCCCCCCCCCCCCTAATATTATTATGAGCAACAACCAAACAAACTGAGTTAAAATCATTAATAGTTACCGTTTGTCCTTTTTTTTTTTTTTTTTTTTTTTATGGTGAAAAGTAAAAATAGGAGACAAAGACAAAATGAGAAAAAAGTTCCAGATATTGGGATTGTACGTCTATCCTTGATTCAATAATTCAATAATTCAAAACAAAAACAAAAACTCAAATCAAACCATCAATCTGATCAGCAAATAATTCAATTTTTTTTTTTTTAATTAAAGAGAAAATCTTAAGCATTTTTTTTTTGAGTATAGATTATCAACAAAATGCATTGAATTTAAGCTAGTTAGTTTTGTTTTATTTAAAACATTATTCAACAAAAACTGGGAGAGAGGTAGAAATAAAATAGTTTCGATTAGCAGGAACGCATGAAATAATTAGTTAACAAACAGCCTAATCTTGATGTAGAAGGATTTTGCTAATCATCGCCTTCAAGTTCACACAAGACGAACAAGTGGCCCCTTCCGCCATCCTCTTCCACTCCATGGCATTCTTCTTCATCTCTTTTCCTTTCTCACCTTCCATGAGCTCTCGAACCAGACTCTCAACTTCGTCTCTATTTACATCACTGTTAATCTCCATGCCTATACCCCATTTCTCGCAACAGTATCTGCAATTTGTCTGCTGCTCTGCAAAAAATGGCCAGCAGATCATCGGGACGCCCGCGCAGATACTCTCGATGGTCGAATTCCACCCGCTATGCGTCAAGAATCCGCCGATTGATGGGTGCCTTAGAACTTCTTCCTGCGGGCACCAGCTGCCCAGCAAACATCTCTCTTTAGTCTCCTCCACAAACTCCGGCGGCAATACGGCCGAATCGCCGACGACAAGATCAGGTCTAATCACCCACAAGAACGTCTTCTTGCTGTTCGCCAGCCCCCAAGCGAACTCAACGAGTTGGTTGGTTGTCACGACTGTTATGCTTCCAAAGTTCACGTACACAACCGAGTTGGCTTCTTTAGAATCTAGCCATGGCAGACACTCGCGATCTTCCTTCCATAAGTTTGAGCCTATCTGTTTTGTTTCATCATCGACCAGCTGATTTGCTAGAAAGTTCAAGGGGCCGATGGGATAAATAGGCGGCAGCAACGGGGACAGTGCACTTAAAACATCGTGCTCCAGGGCATCAAACGTGTTTAACACAATTGCTGAAGCTCTTTTGGCTCGATCTGTCTCACCCATAATAAAATCTAGCATGATGGAATTTGGATCAGTTGTCCTGATAAAACTTGGCAGGTCTTTCAACCGGATATCCTTCATGCCTGGTATCCAATGTATAGCAGTATCGAGGTACCCATTGTTCAAATAACTCTCATCTGCAAATCAAAAGCCAAGTTACACTAAATTAATTTGCATATATAACATATATAATATTACTGTAAATAAACAATACACCTACCTTTTAGAGGTATCAAACCCTTTTCAATAAGATGACGGTAATGAAGGTAACTCAAGACGCCACAAGCGCTAGGTGTCCAAAACAGCAAGATGGGGAGGCCGAGTTCTTCAGCTGCGTCGACGGCGAAGCTCATGATTCCATCGGAAACTATGCAGGTGACAGGAATACCATCGGAGTGGTTGAGTTTGTGGAGAAGTTGTTTAAAGTGAGGTGAGCAGGTCTTGCTGGTAGATTTGCAAAGAGAGGGTATGTCTTGGGTGGCGTCGACGTCACTCGGCGGGAGTCCGTCGGGAATTGTCTGGAAGCGGAAGGAAGGGAGGCTGTCGAGAGAGTCTGGGCCTCTGGATTTAAGCAAGCGGTTATGGTTAAACTCAGTGTTGACGAAAGTGACATGGAAGCCACGGCTGTGTAAGAGCTTTGCTAAGTTTAGCATGGGAGTTACGTGGCCTTGAGCTGGGTAAGGGATGCAAACTGCATGGGATTTTTGTGTGAACCCTGCAGAATCCATTGTATCCCTGGCTATGCTCTCTTTTGATACTCAGAGCGAGGTCGTGTGAGGCACGAAATAGAAATGGTTTAGAAGATGAGTTGAGGCTTGATATATATATATATATATATTATTTATATATGCGGCACGGACGAACCGCAGGAAGAAATTCCCCAACTCAGACGGGCTTCCAATGTTGCCTGAGTACTTTCATAAGCAGAACACCTAATCATTTTTCTTCTGGGAATAATATGATAATTTAGAGAATGGATATACTATTTTTTTTTTCTTGTAAATTTTATGATTTTATTGAATATTTTTGAAAAATAATAATATGTAATATTAGTTTTAATTTTTTTTTTATACCATTTATGAAATATAATGAGATGAGATAAAAAGAAAGTACGAATTTTGTAGAAAAATCAAATTAAAAAGTTTTCTGTTTTTCTTTCTTACTTTGGTCCAACGTAAAAGAAAGTGTGAATATTGTACCAATTTTTGTTTATCGGGGAATTTAGTGCTCTGTTTAGTGAATAATACCAAACTATTAAATTATACATTCGTCTTAGATTAATTAAATAACAAATTAAGCCTCGTGAATAGTAAGCTAAGTGATTGATAACATTAATTAATTAGCGATTTGCAGAGTATTTGCTTATTTAACATTCCTGTTCCGCATGCATATATTTATTTATGTTATGTTTGTCAAAAAGCGTTGGCCCAGTAGTGACAATGACAGAGTAATTAGCTTTAAATGCATGGACTCTATATAATGGGCCTGAACACGAAAGCCATCCCACACCTCTCGGGTTAGAAGCGACAAATTAGATAAGACATAAAATATCATTTGCATGGATTAATTATTTAATCTTAAATGAAAAATCAAGAGATACAAGTTTTACGATTTATAACATAAAAATAAAATCACATTCAATTATTTTTCCATTACATATTTATTTATGAATTCTTGTTCTTACTTATTTATATCGTATATAATTTCAGCTATATATACATATATATATATATATTTAGATAAAAATGAGAACAAACATTCGATGTTTTATATTTGTCTTTTTCTAATAAAATATAATATATAAAACATATCCATGATACCAATTAAATTCACTCTTTATTATGATGTAAAGCAAAAAATAACTAATAAAATACGATTTTGCATTATCAGAAATTACAGTATTAATAAATTATTTATAATCATAATAATAAATAATTTCACAATATATTTATTAATAAAAACTTGTGTGTGTGTGTGTGTGAATTAATTTTTTTTAAAGATGATGTAATTAATAATTATATTAATCAAATTAGCCGGGAAGTAGACGTGCATTATTAAAGCCAATTTATTGGAATGCCAACATCCTTTTGCAATGTTGCTGATCAAACAAATGAACATATATATATATATATATATATATATATATATATACATATGTAAGATTTTTAATCCTGTAGCTCCCATTTAATGGCTGCATTAAGTTTCAAACATATAATTAAAGAATGTCATTAATGGTTATAAGCTGCTACAAAAATTTTATAATCATTCAAATCAAATCACTGACACGAGTTTTCAAAATTTTTAAATAATATTACAACTGCTCCATAATCTCTTTTTGACCTTATAAAAAAAACAAAATTAATATAAGATAAAAATGAGATTATTACGGTTTTCTCAAGTTTACTTTTAACCAAATTAAATCTATAAGACAGCAATATTTATTTGTGTTGCTTCTGTTTTTATTCAATTTCCCTTAGATTTTTGCTCACTTCGCGTGGTAAACTTTTTATCTACCATGACATCAAAATTTGGATTTAATCGTAAGCTCTATTGCATCCCTAACCTTAGAAAATTTACTTTTCATTCTCGTTTACGTGGATTCATACATAATCTTCTCATTTATCGATATTCTTTTAATATTTTCAGAGTATTGTTGTAAGTGTTTTATATTTAACTTAATAAAAAACGATGGATGAAATTAAAGATAAATAAGAGATAATGACTCTATATAAAAGGGGTAGAGACATTAGCAAAAAATAAAATCTGCCACAAAAAAGCAACTTAAGAGCAAAAACAAGCATAAAAAATTTGATAAAACCACACAAGTTATAGAGAAAAATAACATCCATCACAAAAAAAAAAAAAACAGTCAGAGAATAAAACAAGTTTCAAAAAATAGAGACGAAATCCAAGAAAGAGTCCCTTCAACGTCACCCCGACAGTTCCCCAAGTTAAGAAAATAGATTATCTTGGTTGATACGAAAAGTTGGACAATTCACAGCTTCTTGGTTTTCATTCATCTGATTTTGTTAACGAGAGTGATACATTTATAGAGCTCAACTTTCACTGCCAATTAACGCTGAAGAAACCAAAAAATATATGCAGCTTTAACGATTTTCAGTGAGGGACGATTCTGTTCTATCAGGAGGACGATTGCATTCCAGTTTTCGGCCATGCATGTTTTTCTGGGAGCTGTGGGATGAGTTGCATGCTGATTGGGACCTTTCGTTGATCTTGACAAGTTGGCACACTTGTCTTATTGAGTCGACTGTTGCAAGTTGTTCATCACATCCCCCCTCAAACTTGTCAAGGGAAGCGGTCGATGAACCAGTCCAAGTTTTTCCCTAAAATACTTAATCTGTGCTTGTGACAGGGCCTCGGTGAAGCAATCGACGGTATGATCATATAAGGGCACATATTTAATATCGAGAGCTCCTGTTGTCACTTTGTCGTGAATGAAGTGAACATCAACTTCAATATGTTTGGTTCGTGAATTGAAAACAGGATTGTCTGCAAGAGCTGTGGCACTCATATTATCGCATCAAGCTATTGGAGTTTGTGGAGTGTTGATGTTTATCTCTTTAAGTAAAGACTCCAGCCATGTGATTTCACAAGATAGGTGAGCCAAGGCCCCTTACTCAGATTCGACACTTGACCTTGATACAACATTCTGCTTCTTTGAACTCCAAGAGATCAAATTCTCTCCAAGATAGATGCAGTAACCCGAGGTCGAGCGACAATCATCCTTCAAATAGGCCTAGTTAGCATCCGAATACCCAACAATGTTTAGTATGTCGCTGGGTTTAATGTGGAGACTGACATCACTTGTTCCTTTTAGATATCGAAGAACTCTTTTCAAGGCTTTCATGTGAAGATCACTTAGTTTTTGCATGAATTGTCTAAGTTTGTTGACAATAAACGATATATCTGACCTTGTGTGAGTTAGATATTGAAAAGATTCTATCATTTTCTGATAGGGAGTCAGATCTTTCAGTTATTTTCCTTATCCAATGGACAAGTTGTTGTCGATTACTGCCGGTGTCAAACATGGTTTAGCAAAGTGCATGTTGCCTCTTTCAAGGAGTTCTTCAGTGTATTTTATTTGAGTAAGGAAGATGTCAGTGTCATCCCGTGTTACTTCGATGCCGAGGAAGAGATGAATGTCTTCAATATCTTTTAGTGCAAATAAATTATGAAGTTGGTTGATGACACTTAGCATCATCTCTAATATGTTCCCTGTAACAACTATATCATCAACATAGATTAGGATGAACACTTTAGTTGTCTTTATAAGGAAGAAAAATAGAGATGTATCTACTTGTGAGTTCTTAAAGCCCCATTCGAGCAGTGATGATTTGAGCTTGTCAAACCATGCTCTTGGAGCTTGCTTGAGTCCATAGAGAGCTTTGTTGAGTTGACAAACATAGTTAGGGTGTTTGGGATCTTCGAAGCCTTCAGGTTGCTTCATGAAAATCGTCTCTCTTAATTCTCTATTTAGGAAGGCATTGTTCACATTCAGCTGTTTGACGCTCCACCCGTTTGTTACTGTTAGAATCAGAATCACTCGAAGCATTGATGCCTTAATTACTGGGTTGAATGTTTAATGAAAGTCTATCCAGGTGTTTGATGAAAATCATTTGCTACTAGTCTAGCTTTACATCGTTAGAAGCTTCCATCGGCATTGGTCTTGATTTTGTAAACTCATTAGTTGCCAACTAGGTTCATTTTTGGATGATGAGGAACCAGCTTCCATGTCTGATTGTTCCTGAGGGCAGATATTTCTTCTTCCATGGCCAATTTTTAGTGGGGAATTATGGTTACTTCAATGATCAAAGTAGGTGTTGTAAGATTTCTTACCATGACTGCTTTGAATAATTGAAAGTCTTGTGGCAGGTTCCTTGGTCTAAATATCCCAACTTGAGCTATGGTCATCATCTGGTGTCTTAGAGCTTCTGTCAGGGTATTTTTGGCTTGTACTCTCTATTCTTCTTGATCTGATGGTGTTATGCTCTGACTGAGAGAAGACACTGGTTCTTCTTGCAATAAATTGTTAATGGTCGAAGGATCTCTTAGTGAATGTTGCGATGAGACTTTGCCATAGGGGAGGAAGTTGATGCTACAGTTTCTTCAACGACTTGTCTGCTCTAACTCCCTGGGAAATGAATGGCTGATGTAGGGTTGGAAGATATATTCAGCTAGAAAGGTAATGTGATTCTACAGACTGTTTCAAGTTGATGCTTTTTCACGAACCCATGGTGATAGGGAAATTCAGGTTCACTGAAGACAACATTTCTGGATACATACATCTTGCCAGTGGAGTTGAGACATTTATATCCTTTGTGTAGAGAACTGTAACCAAGAAAAACACATTTTGTTGAGTAGAAGGTGAGCTTATGATTCTGATATGGTCATAGGCAAGGAAAACAGACACATCTAAATATCTTTAGCTATTTGTAGTTAGGTTTTTTACGGTAAAGCATTTCAAGTGGCGAAGACTGATTCAAGATTGGCATAGGCATTCTATTAATAAAAGATACGGTTGTTTCAAACGCATCAAGCCTATATTTCAATGGCACACCCGACTCGGCAAGGAGGGTGAGATCGATTTTGGTTATATGCTGATGTTTTCTTTCAACTCGTTCGTTTATAGCAAATCAGTGGAGATATGAGAATCTAATTTTAATTCCATTATTTTGAAGAGTCTGCGTCAGGCCATTGAATTCTCATCCTATATCTGATTGAAGACACTTTATTTTCTTTCCAAACTGGGTTTCTGTTTGGTGTTTGAACAGAGTAAAGGCCTGAAA